AAACCATGGTCCATCTTCAATGAGAAGCTGCCCTGCCTGAGTTTGAAATCTCTGTGTGTATGGAGGAGGAATAAGGAAAGAAATGGGCAGCCCTTGAAGGGCTTTCTCCTTCCTGCAGCTTAAACAGAGCTATCACATGCACCACAGCCTTCCCCTATTCATTTTGAAACAAAACAGACTTGAAACACTTATTTCCAGAGGAGCCTTCCAGGAGGTCTGCATACTTCTGTGGGTCCTTTTTGGAACATCATTCCAACTCATTCAGCTTTGTGTTTAGTGCAGATTGGATCTCAAAGTTATTTCTGATCACTCTGTGCATATCTGTGAGTTGCAGAATAGGTCTGATCTTTTTACTCTGTGTGCTTCCAAACCAGTGCACTGCAGTACAGTGCAGCACTATCTTCAGATTTGGTACCAGTTTATCCTTCAATGCTTTGCACATAAAAGCCCAGGTGTAAGCGTGTTGAAGTATACAACTGAATTCAGATGTGCTACATCAGACTGACCCAGTGTGCGAGGCTCTCGCTGGGAGCTTCTTCAGATGTAGGGCAAAATTCTCTTCTCAGATTCCCAGAGTAGCTCCTGACTCAATCTCCTGAGTCTCCTGTGCTGACATGTGCAGGCGTTTTATGGTGTGAAAGCAAGTGAGTGCCCTGAAAAGAGTAATCCGTCACTGACTGAGGAATGGACAATAATAGCGAAGCCCCAAAAAGAGCACGAGACCCTTTCTTGAACCAGTTGCTCTGTGTCTGAGAGAAGCTTGAAGGGTTTGTGTCACTTGGGCAATGTGCTTGTAGCCTCTTCCTCCTAGTTATCACTGAGCTGACAATCTAAGACTGCTTTGTGGATATGAGGACAGAATTTTGCCTGCAGGATGCACCATTGCCAACTGTGCCTCCTCTATAAATCAGTTTTAAGTGTGTTTGGAATAGCTGCCAGGCCGGCTTCTGAACTTACCAGAGGACAGAGCTCCAGCAGATACAGTCCCACATGGCACAGAGCTGTTGCAGTTTTAAAATCAGTCTGATTTTTTTCTTTAACAGGGGAGCCCAGTGTAACTCCGTCAAGACTGGAGTGACACTCTGAATCTGCATCTGCCTCATGTGAGTTAAAATCCTGGCAGCAGCATTTTGCATAAACTGGAGCCTCTGTAGACATCGGGGTTTTTTTGTTTTTTTTTTTTTTTTTCCTTTTCAGGAAAGCTATAAAATTGTTATTGTATGTGTCTTGGCAGCAAAGGTAAAAACAACCACACAAGTGCATGAGAATTGCATACCTTACTGCACAACCCCTGCTCATTCCAGACCGGCTTCCCTCCTAGCACATACTGTGTAAGGGACGCCCACACTCATCACAGACCTGAAGGCTTGCAACGTTCACTCCTGGGGTACTGCATTTTACCTTTCAATAGTATAATGTTAAGCCAAATGATGGTATTAAGGGGAGGCTGAAACGCTGTCAACTGGCTACTGTTTTTTTAAACCTTTGATTGTTTTCTTCTCACCCTGGTTGCATAATCTGTGAGTGTTGGGTGCCAGTTGCCTTGTACCACTGAAGCATTTGCCTGCGTTGGAACACAGACTATTAAAATAACGTGGTCCTCTGGAACTGGGAACTTGGCGTGGTGGCAGAGACATGGCCATCAAGTAGTAAGAAAGAGAAAAAAAAAATCGGAATAAGTTGTACCATTTGCTTTTGTTTTGCTGTCGTACCATGTGCATTGGGCAAGGATCATCTGAAAATGTGTTCGTGGCTCTGCTTCACCTGTCATGGAGTTGGGGATGCTTGAAGACAGGGCCCTTCTCAGCTGGGTGAAAGAGCTGCTCACTGGAGACACTGCATGGCAAATAGCTGAGTTCGTGGCATTGCCATGGCACAGAAATTATCTCCAGTTGTGGTCTCAGCAGCCAGGTCTGAATGAGGGAGATGTTCCAGGAAAGTTTAAAACTATTTTTTCATCATGCAGCTTCAGAAAAAGTATTGATTTGTCCTCTCTACTCTTTTTCCCCATGGATGCCTGAAGTAAACACGATATGAGAGCGACCAGCCCTGAGTACAATATTGAAATACATTTTTTCATCTATTAATGCATATAACTAGGGCATCTTGCCCGAATGTGCTGCCGTAGGTGCAGCAGTGTTAGCCTGTTCGTACTTGATATGAAGGAGGTGGATTGTTTGTTTGCCTGGAAGCTCATGTTACTGAAACAGGCATTCGCACAGCTTACGAGAAATGTCAGTGGGTTGTGACTTGTAACGACTGATGCAGCATGTGCTATGGTGTAGGGTGCTGTCAAGGTGGGCTCAGTGAGCTCTCAGTTTGTTCCCAGCTGTGTGTCTAATTAAAGGAAAGTTTATCTTGAACAGTAAGTATGATGGTAACTGGAGAACATTTATTGTCTGTTTCCAGGAGTCCAGTTTCCTGTGTCCCTGTTTAGTTTGTGTATCGAAGAGAAGGCTCTCATTTTCCAGATATTGTGGAGTGGTAGAAAAATAGGGAAGGGACCTGAGGCATGAATGAGCTAGTAGTTTAGTTTTATTCAAGGAGACATCAAGGAAGCAAAATCTAGAGCTTGAGAGGTAAGGGGAATAACTGCCCCCCCACCCAAGAAACGTTCAGATTAATCCTGTTACAGTACTGCCTCAACAGAGACTTGGGATGATGAAGGCTGAGGTTGATAACTGGTTTTCAGCCTTTTTCCTACTGGTGCTTCAGCTTGTTTCCATAGACTCTGAGAATAAAAAGGAGGTCTGTAATGGGAAATCTAAGACAGAGAGGCAAATACAGAAAGGAAGAAATTGAGTGAGGGCATTTTGTGAGCAGTTGGCTGCATGCCCCACCACAGCTATTCTCTGGTGGAGCATTAACAAGATGCACAGGTGATTTCACAGAAAGCCCTACAGTTTCCCTGGAAAGGTTCTGCTGGAGCTGTTGGTGAAACACTTCTGCTTGTCCAGAGGAAATGCCAATGTGCTCCTGGAGATTCTTTGTGTCTTGGCAGCATTACTGTGGTTGGTGAGTTCAGAAAGAGCAGGGTTTCCTTGGAGAAATCTTTCATTTGGAATTGGTGTTTTATGGATAAGTTGGTAACATGGTGAAATTCCCAGGAAACTAATGAGGAGGAGTACAGCAGCTTCATGGACAGGATGGGGGACCAGAGGTTGCTTCATATAACAGGGAGCTTTGCAGCACTTTCACCTTCTGAGAGTATGTGCAGGTGTTTTTCTTACCATTTTCACTGGGAAGTGCCTTTACTATCTTGCATCAGAGGAATTCCTTTTTCCAGAGATGCTCTGGTGTCACTCTCACAGTGTTTTTTGTCACCTAACTGCCTTTTGCTCCTTCCAACTGTAGCTCACTCCCCAGAATTGCCTTGTTGGTCACTGCTTTCTTCATTAGCTATAGTTTTTGACTGCTTATTCCTATCTATAGCTCAATCAACCTTTCCCTTCCTAAAGGACAGAAAAGACTATGTGCATTGTATCACGTTGAGGTTTGCCATTGGTATAATAATGCTGAAGATTTTGATAACTGTTTTATTGATTTTAGTTATCTGTTTAAGAACATTACAGATTTGCTTATTATGTTTTTAATGGTGTTAGTTTAATGGGGAAAATTAACTCCTAGGATTCTGTTAATTTTAGATTATTAAGAGACTTGGGAGCCCTCTGTCACAGTTACTGTGATCTGAGTCTTGGCCGCCTCAGTTCTTCTATAGTCCTTGCCTTTTTAGTATTTTTGTAGTATTTTATATTATTTGTTTTATCTTCTCAGATTGAGCTTCTGTATTCCACAGTATATATATGGTGGTGATTACCTGGACAGTATAGACGATGTGTATTAATATATCTTGTGAGGCCCACAGATGTGCTAGATCTCTCTCAGGAAAAGCACTTTGTCTTCTAATGAGCTTACTGTGTAACTTGCATGTTTTTATATTTTACTCAGCTAAATTTGAAATATTCAAGTGTTTGAGGCAGTCGGGCCCACTGAACCCATGGTAACCTTCATTGCAGTCAAGGGTTGTATTTGACCTTCTTACATTTTACAACCAGTTTAAGACAGCAACATGCAGAAAATGTAAACACACCATCAGAGAAACACAATAATTTCCATCTGTCATAGAAATACAAGTGATTTCCTTTTAAATGTTAATTTAATGATCTGATTAAGCTGTAACATTTCCAGTACATGGGAGGGTCATTTAGAGGAAGAAGAAGAGCCTGATGGTAGGAATGACTTGGTTGAACAAGTACATTTCTTTCACATTGAGCTAAGGTGTGTGTCACAGATGAGCAGCTCCTCTGAAATGTGAGAACAGTAAGCTTGCTTAAAAGAGTAGCATTTTTATGCACAAGGGTAATAGCTAACAGATTTTTACAGTACCATATGGTATTATTAACAAACAAATCGTATATTAACTTGACAGCTCTACCTTCAAGCTCAGTCTGCCGCAAACATAAATTCCCCTGAGATGAAATCTGTAGACAATACTAAGCTTTGGGATTGTATCCAGAGCAGTAACAGAAGCACAGCAGTGATGAATTTCAGGCTTTGTAACCATGAATACATGTGTTCCGAAAATTTATTGGTTTCTTCATCAGCTTTGTGAAAACATAGCAAACCAAAACCTGATCGGAGCAGGTGGAACAGGGAGCGTTCATGCATCTGCCTAACGGGACTGCAGGGAGAGGAGATGCAGTTTGAAATACATTTTTTTCTGATGCAGAGAGCTGTGATAGACTGATGGGTATTTCATCTGGTGCACTCTGCTGCTGAAACCTGAACTGCGGCTCCGCTCAGCTGCAGTCCTGGAGCATGAGCTAATTCCACTGTGGCTTCAGGCTGGGGGACCCAAGGCAGTGAAGGACAGGAGCGAAGAGGGAATGTGTGATGTGGAGGAGGGAGGAGGGCGAATGGGTACATTACTTTTAACTGCCTTCTTGTTTAACCCCCTAGCTGTTTTCAAATTTTCTAACTGAAATCTCATCTTGGTACAGTGTATAAATCCCCTGAATACGAATCTCTTGGATTTGACCTGACCGTAGAAAGATTAGTTTCCATTGGATACCCTCATGAGCTGCTCAATTTTGTGTATGATCCTGCATTCCCTACCAGGTAAATGACTAACAGATACCAACCCAGCCTGTTTGAGGCCTTGAATATTTGTTCTGTAAAGTTCATAGGCAACATGTGAGGCCAGGTTTTCAGAGTTGTGCCTGTGAAGCCTGTGGCTGACCACAGATCATGGGGAAGGGAGCATACCGCTCCAGTATGTGGAGGGCCCTTGCACACATGAACCTATGCCAGCAAAGAGGGAGTGTGCAAGAAAAGAGGCCTGCTGAAAACATGGTCCAAAAATAACCTGTCAAAGCAAAGACAGCAGAGACACAATTGGATTGGGAGTTAAATCAAAATCAAGGGGAGAAGGAGCCATTACCGTCCATGAGGCTGCGAGAATGTCTCAGAACATTTTGCTTTAATGAATTTGTGTCCTGGTGCACAAGACATCCTGAAAATGAAGCTGACAGTAAACAACAATAAAAGTGGGACCAGTGCAGTTCACGTGTCTAGATGAATCAAATGCCAAAAGCAAAATTAATGGTGCAGTGTTACTGAATTCCTACATTTTGTCTTTTGGTAGCAGAGGTAAAAAGGACATTGCTTGTTTTAAACAAGGCTTTTGATATAACTCCGTGCCTTTAAGTTGTTTCCACTTGTGCCTTTGCTGGATTTTGCTTGTTTGACTGCTTTGGAGCTTCTTTACAAAAGAGTAGGCCAGAGGGTCCGTTGACTTGTTCCAGTTTTCAGTCTGGCAGCCTCCTTCCTTCCCTCCTCTCAGCATGTTTTACACTGAGACTCTTGCTGGGTGTGCCTGTGCCCGTAACAGGACAGCAGCCCTTCACAAACCCATGATGAAGACTCCATTAAATCCACTGTCTTCATCCCAGGGAAGGGACAAGCTACTAGATAAGTGAGACAGAGTTTTGCTGGAGTTGGAACTGGGAATTTCCAAAGCATTTTGTGCAGTAGTTACATGCCCCATCTGGATCTGTCTGTGACAGAGCGATGAAAAAGAGGGGAGAAATTCCTTTCTCACACCTCACTCTTCCTTGCAGCCCAGCAGGGCTGTCAGGGAACCACAAACACGGGTGTCAGATTCGTGACCCTGTGGAAGAGGCCTATGTCTTCCCTGGTACATGCATAGCTAAGCCTCTACCAGGTTAAATGGTTCCATTTTCAAGTCTATGGAGAGCAGATCAGCTGTTCCTTTCACCTGGCATTGCAGGGCTCTTGTTACTCACCTGCTGCCGGGTAAAAGGGACAGTAGGGACCCCATCTGCACAACAGCAACTCTGTTCTGATGCCCCACACCAAGTGAGCAAGCTGTTCTAGAGCTGATTTGGAAAAAACTGCTATTAAAATGGTCACCGCTTAATATGCTCACTTCTTCATATCTTAAATCGCTTTCTTAACAGAGGCCTGGTGTTTGATACCCACTATGGAAACCTGTTGAAAGTTGATGCCTATGGGAACCTTCTAGTGTGTGCACATGGCTTTAATTTCCTCAGAGGGTGAGTGCTGACTCTTGGCTGTTCTTTTTGACTTAATACGTTCTTTTGTGTCACTGATCCTCGGGGCAGTCATTGTATAAGGAGTCACAGGGACTGCACTAACAGCAGATGCTGTATTGGTGTTCCTACATCTCCAGGATTGACTGGGAATGCATTGAGGGGCCCAGCCGCAGCAACAGCCCTCTATAAACAGGGTGTTTACAGAGGAAAGGTCTGTGTCAGCACAGGCACATATGTAGTGTGCTGGGAATAGATAGAAACTGTGTTGTGGAAAGGGGTTGGTGGGATAATCCAAGGTCTCTTCACCTGTCCTGTCACAGTTTAACATCAGCAGCTTGCCAGTTAAGACAAAGCCATTGTATGAGGGCTGCTGGGAACAGAGAGGACCTGTGCCCCATGGGACTGTTCACTCCACAGCCATTGCTAAGAAAGTGTGAGGGCCTGAACTGCCTTGGGGAAGGAACAAGCTTGCTCTACCCCTTTGTGTTTCTGACCTTTCAGGGTGTCAGAAGTGAGGCATCGTGTGCCATTTCTTGCAGCCTTCCCTGGCTGCTTGCGTTTCTCTTGCCCCAGAGAAGGCGCTTTGGAAGGCAGAGGGGACCACAGTGCTACCTGCCTGATGTGTCCCAGCAAATCCCTTTGTATCCCTGCTGCAAGGGTGGATGGATGGAGGGCAAGCGCAGGCCAGCTCAGGGCCCCCAAGGTCACAAGCCTTGTCATTGCAGGCCTGTAAGTCCTTGCATCAGGAAGCCAAAATTTAGAAAAAGCCCTTATATGTGCACTGAAGTTCCTTTTTGAGTTAGAGGTGATCTTTAGAAGCTCCAGAAATGAAGGAAACCAGAATAATTAAATGACTTTAGTCATTGCCACCCTGCTGATTAATTGCAGAGGGCCCCAGGCAAGCCTCCCGCAGCACAGCCCTGCACTCCCCTGCTGAAAGCTGCTCGGGGAGTGCAAAGCAACACATGGAAAGTGGGGGAAAGTTTAAGATAAGCAAACAATGAAAGTGCCGATGATTTAAGGCATCCTCATAGCCGGCGGCATGGGGCTTAAGGTCAAGTTGTGGACTCTTGACCACTCTGTTTCCCTGTGTGGGCTCTGCTCAGTTTGCTTACTCAGCAGTGAGGGCTTTGTGCCCAGCTCTGCCGGAGCCACCGCCGTGAAGGGAACGCCAGTGGATGCAGTTTTGTTCTTGCTCCACTAGTGCACGTGGGAAAGCTGGGTGTTGATTAAAGCACAACAGGCGCTAGTTAATGGACCCCACTACAGCTACATTTTGCAGGTCAGTGCATTTCATCCTCATTGTTTTTTGTGGTTTCATTCTTTTCCACCTTATCTATTCTCAGGCCTGAAACACGGGATCAATATCCAAACAAATTTATCCAGAGAGATGACACAGATAGGTTTTACATTCTGAACACGTTATTCAATCTACCAGGTGAGTCTAATGTGAGCCAACACAGGCCTGTTCATGTGCCTTTGAAGCCAGTAAAGCTTTGCTAATGTTGTAGTCTACTTACTTGTTTACTGTTTTTTTACATGAACTTTCTTCTTTTGGGCACAGGACCTAAAGTTAACTGGATGTTATCCTCGTTTTAAAATCTTGCTTTGTTTCTCTGCAGAGACCTACCTATTGGCTTGCTTAGTGGATTTCTTTACTAACTGTGACCGGTACACTAGGTATGTATTCCCTTCAGTTGAAGGTGCTGATTGATGGTACAGCAAGGTTGTTATTATAAAGAGCAGTACAGCACAGAGGAAGCTTTTCTTAATACCAGTGGAGGCTCCTCAAGTGGTTTCAGTGGGGAAAGTTCAAGCCTCCTATTCTTTTGACATTAAGAGAATTTAGTGGTGACAAGATAATCTGTGCATACAGCAGAGACTGGTTATGAGGGTTTCCTTCACAGGGTATATCAGTACCACCATACTGACTGACACTGGTATTTGGGCCACCTTCTAAGACCACACACTTATTACAAGGTGATTACAAGCACCAGAAAGCTCATTTTGAACCTGTGTCCATTGGAGCTGTGTTTGAACTGGTAAATGAATGGCTAAAACTTCCTCAGCCAGTTACCACAAGTCCGTCGTGTCATAATTGAGCATTTTGTTCATTTAAAGGTGAAATGCTCAGGCACAGTGTGGTGTAAAAGGCTGCTTGTGCAGCATGAGTATTTACCTAGCTTTCAAATAGGTATAAGCGTAGAAACAAGCTGTGGTTTGAACTGGCAAATGTGATGCTGCTGTGCTGCTGACTCATGTGAGCATGGGGTCGCCTTTGCGTATATGTGAGTTGAAGGCAAAAGTTTAATGGGATTTTACTTGGGAGCAGAGGGATTGTTTATGCTGACAACCCATCAGATGAAGTATCCTCTCTCAGGACAGGGGTGATGATTGCTCTCATAGTAAATACAGCTCGGTTTAATCCTCCTTGATTTCTTCTGGTGCAAACTCTCATGGGTGTCTCAAAGATACCTCCATAGTATCTTCTAGAGGAAATTTCTCATGTTAACTCCAGCTGTTCAACACAGAAGTAGTTCCACCTCTCAGCAGTGAGTATTACATTTAGTTGATTTCCATGGCACCCCCTTCTTTAGTGTTGGAAAGAGGGAGAAAGAGCAGCACTCTGCTTACTTTCTCAGTATCATTCATCTTTCATAAAATGTTGCAAACTGCACAGTCCTAGGTTTATTTCCTTCTTGTAATACTGTGGGGGAGAAATAAAAGTTGCAGTCACAGAAAGCTGTAGTAGTGCTATGGAGGCACAGGCCTGTATTTAGGAACTCCCATCCTAAAATTTGAAACACCTTGGGTAACATGCAGATCCTGTTAAACTCTGGTTGTAGCCTTCTTTCAAGTCTGAGCCATGGTAAGGTAGTAAATGAGAAACCATTATGGTAAGATGAAAACACAAGCTCCAAACAACATTTTGAACTGTCTCCCTCCTTGACGTGTTTCTTACCTGCCGCAACCGGCCGCTACAGTCTCTGTTCTTCTCACAGCTGTGAAACGGGGTTTAAAGATGGAGACCTCTTCATGTCCTTCAGGAGTATGTTCCAGGATGTCAGAGATGCTGTTGACTGGGTTCATTACAAGGTGATTGCGAGAACTCCTTGGGATGTCTGTAGTTGTAACTGAGTTAGAGGGGCTGGTTTGTAACTCATGAGTTAAGATGTGTTATTCCACTTTTGGGCAAGAGCCCTGCTTTGCCGCCTAGTGAGCAAATAATAAATTGCAGTTGTATGTAAGTCAAGATCTTGACTGCCCTCCTAGTACTGGAACATATCTGTCTTGGCTTCCTGTTCCTTTTTATCGTGCCCAGATTCCATTTCTGTACTGTAATTCACGGGTTTTAGAATGTGATGCCATGAGGCTATTTGCACTTACAGTCCATAACTTATACATTGTCCTAATTATTAAAACAGCATTTTACTGTAAATAGTTTACATCGGTACTATCTTATGTTGTCTGAAAAGTACCTGCATTAAACAGAAATACATCAACCCTTCTCTATTTAGAGAGGAAAGGCAGTTTATTGTTTTCACACACTTGTGCACAAATTTAGAATATAATTTTGTGAGCATTAATATCTAGTTAAAGATCTGATTTTCTTGTTCTTCCTCATTCAAGAGGTCTGTTGGGGTGGGATGGAGAACCATCACAGGAGAACTCTACTCACTGTTGTACCTGTGGTGGTCCTTTTAGCCGTGCAGAAGTCAGGAATCTATTTTTCTTTCCTTATGCAGTGTTGTGTGATACATGTTGGAGTTGGCCTTTAAGTAAAGCATTATGGTCAGTGTTGGAGACAGGTCGTTGACTGTCTTGTTTGGTATGGCAAATCTATTTTTTGTTTGTTTCTATTGTATTCCCTTCTGAAAGGGTTAAAATGCTGTTGAAGTGGATTATTTACCATGGTGAGGGAATCGATGGATCACAGAGTTTGTGATGGTCCCTGCTACTCAAAGCCTCTCATCTCTAGAGTCACTGGTTCAGATTCGCCCTGGTTTGTACTTTCACAGCATTTTAAAGTGTGAAAGTTGGCATTACTTTGATGTCTCTTACATCATAAGTTTCCATTACCTCACTGGGTTCTGTTGTTTCTATTTCAGGGATCTCTTAAGGAAAAGACCCTTGAGAACCTGGAAAAGTATGTGGTGAAAGATGTAAGTGTGAAGTTACTTTACTTGTGCTACGTGACATTCTGTACCGAGTAAGCAGGCAAGAAATAAACATGCTGATTTGCTTTACTAAATCACAAAACAGATAACGCTGTGATTTCTATTGTCATAACCAAAGACAAAGTGGAAAGTTCGGACGCAGCCTTTATTCTGAGCCAGTGATCCACGTGATTTCGTATTCACGTGCATGTTTTTTACGTAAAATATAAAAGCCAGAGGAACTGTTATCACGGGACACAGGTGAATATGCTAGCAAGGCTCATGTTCTTTCTTTTGGTGGTGAACGCAGCAGCGTTCCCTGCCCACGTTTTCTCTGCCCAAGCAGACTTCTTTTTAAAAAGCAACAGATGAGCATCTTTTTAGACAGAAGTGTTCCTTAGCCATCCAACAAAAAAGTTACATGTGTTTAACGATGAGGGACTGAGGGAAAGGTCCTGAAAGACTCACCAATGTGCAGTCTCTCTTGATAGCCCCAAAATGTCTGTTTAGCACGTCTAATTGAGTAAGCTCTAGTGGTTCCCTTATTGCTACCCTCCTTATAGTGTGCAAGGCCCCTCTGGACCACTTACAGTATAATTAGCTCTTTAGAGATGAGCTCTGTGGTAGAGCATTACTTTAAAGCAGTTAACCTTGTTTCTAGTTACATGCCTGCAGAATTCTTAAGAAACTGTTTGCTGAGGTAATCAGCTACTCTGGCAATGGACTGAGATTTATGATTCAATAAAAATAGCCCCAGGAATAAATTCTCCCTAATTTGAGGTTGGAATTATAATGCGTTCCAACTTGTGGCTCGTGTGAGCTCAGATTTCACCTGCCTCTGGGCCCATTTCGGGAATGGACTTGGAGCTGGAGGAGCTACCCCAGCATGCCTGGCACGGAGCAGATCGGTGGGAGCAGCACAGGGTGCCTGGCACTGTGGTTGGCAAAGGCACTGCAGCCCTGCTGAGCCCTTCCTCCTCGCCTTCTTCCCCTGGGCTGTGCTCTGGAGGGGTGTTATGTGGACAGACCAGCAGCTTTCCTGGCTCTGGCCAATGCAAAACACGTGAGTTTGCTTGCTCCACGGTTTGACTTGCTTTGTTTTGTCTGGTGGGATCATAGTTGAGAGTGTTTTGCCCTTGATGAATCTCTGGAACTTTTGTGTGTGACTCGTATGTCCCTTGGCTTTCAGGGGAAGCTGCCACTGCTGCTCAGCCGCATGAATGAAGTTGGGAAGGTGTTTCTTGTCACAAACAGTGACTATAAATACACCGACGTAAGTGCTGCTTGAATTGTTGTGTTGGTATATAATGGAATAAGCAAAAGCCAGCCATTTGTTTGTATGGATTTTGGTAGGACAGCATCTGGTGGAGAATCGGGTGTTTTCTAAGCTAGGTGTAGGATGGTTTAGTGGCAAATGCAGTTTAGGTCTTGAGTCATCTTTTGTAGTCCTGGTTCTGCTACTGACCTAGTATGGGCCTGGCTTAAGTCCCTCTGTGCCTCACTCAGTTCCTCAGCGATTAAAAGACTGAAAGAGAAAGTAATACTCATTTTAAATTTCATCAGCCTTTAAAATGCAAAACTTCTCTTTCAAGTGAGATAGTCTGAATACAGACAGGTCACCAAAGCCATGGTCCTGGGGAGGTCTAAGAGCCAGAAAGGGCTGTCTGCTGGGCTGTAGGAATAAGCATGGTTACTTCAACTCCAGGTAAATGTCAGGATGTTGCAACACTGCTAATCCAAAGATCTATATGTCATTTTAAAGCATTGCAAGATATGCTTGAAGCAGTGTGCAGATTTCTGAGGCAGGTGTGTTCTTTGATTATAAAAATTACCAGTTTAATTCCTGTCATTTTAAATTCCATCCCTTCATTTTGTTGCCAAATCTTATGCTGACTTCTGTGTAAATCCTGAAAATAAAGTTCTGTAACCTGAAAAGATAAAAGCGGAAAAGTATGCCACAAATGTATGTTTAAAAACGCATCTTTGAATACTTTCTGTCTTTCAGAAAATTATGACTTACTTGTTTGACTTTCCACACGGACCAAAGGTATGTGATTTCTACACCGCGGTTCCAATAGAAACTGATGTGCCTAATTATCTGTGTAGCTGGAAAGCATTTTAATCCTGCTTCATCGGCTGCATGGGATTAGTTGCTTTAATCTGGTTAAAATACGCTTGCTGTTTTGTGTCCTATTTGAATGGGATCAAAGCAAATACAATATAACAAAGAGAAAAGAGGCATCATCTGGTCTCAAACAATAATCTGTGTTAATGATAACATTATTTTAGTGATAACACATTTTAACTGTGGCATTTTGCAGCCAGGTTTCTTAGAAGTCTTGCACAATGTTTCAGATGTTGTTAAAAAAACTTTGATGGAAAGGAAAGAGTTTTATAAAACAGCTGATTGTGCCTTGACTATGGTAACTCCAAAAGATTTAGTCATGCTTTTTCTGGTTTTCTGAGGTCAAAACTCAGCCCTGCAACTTCTGGAGAGAGGCTTATGAGCTGAATTTATACTCCTTTCTCAGTCTCCCAGCGGGAGGCTATCTAATGCTCAAAAGATGTGTTTTCGCACTCTGCTCTAAAGGTAGAAGTTGGCCAAGGGAGAAGTTTTCAGAACATGGAGAATCACCACAACTGATAGCTCAAAAAACTCCTTGCTGTGGTCTTGATCTCAGGAAGAGTGGAAGTGTGGAGCAGAAAGGGCTCATGAATGCCCAGCGTCCTTCAGGCAGGGTCGTGATTTAAAGCCATGCTCTGTGGAATCCAGGCATTTTCCCACTCTTAGCAAATGTACCAGCATGGCCTTGTAAGGCTGAAGCCGTTGAAGTTACATGTGTCTGGATCCACGCAGGGTGTCACCTTCAGAAATAGTGGCAGCAGTGTCATTTACAGCATCTCTTCACGTGGCAGCTGTGCTGCGACACGGGTGTTCAGTGCAGTTCTCCTGTCTCACAGCGCATCCTCAGCCCTTGCTGGGTTGGGGTGGGCTCGCCGCAGAAGGGGAGGGCTTTAGGAGGTGGGGCTGGCAGCTCAGCATCGAGCTTGGGGATTCTGATGGACCAGCAGTGTCACGAGGTTGTGGCTGTGGCCAGTGACACTCCGGTTAAATTCCCTGTGGTTGATTGTGTTGTGCCTGATTCTGGGGTTTGGGTTTGCCTTTGCAGCCTGGGAGTGCCCATCGGCCATGGCAATCCTACTTCGACCTGATCCTGGTGGATGCACGAAAACCCCTTTTCTTTGGGGAAGGCACCGTGCTGCGGCAGGTGGACACGGTGAGTGGCTATGGAGGGTACCTCTACGGCTGGAAGGGCTCGTGCACCTCCCGTGTGACGTTTCCTAGTGACAACAGGCAGGACCTGCCCTAGAGATGGTGGGCTGGCTTCTCCTCTTAGTGCTTCCCGAGCAACCCCGTCACCTGGGGCAGGGCAGAGCTCGAGGCTTTGCTGGCTTCCCTAACGTACTGCGGGTGGCAATAGGAAAGAATCTGGAAAGCCACCTCTAGGCTGCCCGGGAGTGAGAGAGAGAGACCAAGAGTGAAGTATGGGTAGGACAGAAAAGATCCAGACCATCAGCTGTACTGTACTAACACAGTGTCTCCTTCCACAGGTGACTGGGAAGCTGAAGATTGGTACCTACACTGGCCCACTGCAGCACGGCATCGTGTACTCAGGAGGTGAGGCAAGAACCCTTCTTGTCCTGCGGAGTGGCTTTGATGTGCCCTCGTGGCCTTCAGCCACTCCGGGTGTGAGAGGACTTGCACCAGGCAGGGTTGTGTTTCACAAAGTGCGTTGTGCTGTGCCCTCTGCCCTCTGCACCAGAAGCTCTCTGTCATCACTGCTGCCCAGTGCAGGGAAGAAATGGACCTGTTCCTCCTCAAATGCCCTTTTTTCTACCTGCCAGGGAGGGTTTGGGAAATGCCACGGCAGGGCTTGTGGTGGAAGGAGAGCTTCAGCTGGCCCAGCGCAGCGTTCCCAGCTGTACTTACGGTGCTGCTACCAGTGTGACCACACTTGGAGGGTCCTCTAAGCCCGGGAAGGGCGGCTGGCGGATCTCCGGGGCGGTCTGTGACGCTCAGGGCTCCATTACTCTCCCGTGGGGTGGGAGGCAGTATGGTCCCTCTGCTGCTGCCATTCATGCGGGGGTGTGCATGGGCAAAGCTGCCCCTAGGTGAACTCCCAGGTGGGTGGGCAGTGCCCCGCGTTGCCGTGGCCAAGCAGGGGTGCTGCGTTTAGCAGCGGAGGTTTCTGGGAGGAAGATGCACCTGCTCTGTCCCTAACTTCGGCCCTCTGAAATGAGCCACGCGTTTCCTTTTGGCTCCCTGTTCTGAACCATGCCATTCTTCTTGCAGGCTCCTCGGACACAGTCTGTGACCTGCTGGGGGCCAAAGGGAAGGATATCTTGTACATTGGAGACCATATCTTTGGAGACATCCTCAAATCCAAGAAGCGCCAGGGCTGGAGGACCTTCCTGGTGATCCCCGAGCTGGCGCAGGAGCTGCATGTCTGGACAGACAAAAGTGGTCAGCAGCCGGGCAAACCCCAGGCCAGGCTTTGCTCTTGTTTGCCTGGCGCTGCACCCCTGAGATTGCCAGGGCATAGGGGTGCAGGGGAGAGATCACCCTGGCTTGCTGCTTATCCTTTCAGCCCTTGTTCCCTGGGTCTGGGTGTTGGGGACAGCTCACTGTGGGCTGGCCACGGCATTCCAGGCCTTTCCTGTGCTCTTTCCCAGGCTGCTGGCCTGCGATCAGCCAAGCGCTGACTTGGCCAGGGGAGAAGCTGCAGCTGGGTGGGGTTGAGTTGTTCCACACCCATAACCCTGCCCCCAAAACTCCTCTCCCTCTGCCTGTATGGAGCTATAGATTCTTTGGTAAAAAGTATCTGACAGGACACCCTGTAATGCCTGAGCCATGACTGCTCTCCCATCTGCAGGGAGTCCCTGCTCACCAGCCGCTTCTTCCTCCTTCCTCCCGCTCCCTCTGCTGCTCTGCTGCCAAAGTGCTGTGTGTTTCTCATCCTCCAGCGCTACTGCTTTTCTCCCAGGTTTGCCCTTTGGTGTGTAAATAGGTCTGGGGGTTATGCAAGTTGCCCCGTGGCTGGTTGGAATGTTTTGGTGAGGGTTGTGTAGGTTCGGCCTCAAAAACAAAAGGGGTGACCAGAAAGCAAGCCCAAAGCCCTGGGGGTGGCAGGGAGCAGGGTGGAGCCCGCTCCCTGCCCAGAGGCAGTGAGTCCCTGTGCTCCGTGATGCAGTGTCCCTCCACCGCCACGCGAGGGGAGCGGGCAGGATGGTGGGTGTGCTTTCAGCCCTTTTCATTTCAACAGTTTAAATTTACCTTTTCCCCTTTTCTTTTCTGGGTGCTCCAGCCCTTTTTGAAGAGCTGCAGAGTCTGGACATCTTCTTGGCCGAACTATACAAGTGAGTGTTCAAACGGTGACAACTTTCCTGCTGCCTCTCCCCAGCCTAGCGACAGCTAACGAGCGGCTCTGACGAAACCTTGGGGTTGGGTTAGCGGCACTGCTGCCGGAGTTTTGACTCAGGCCTGGGCTCTGCCCACGAGACCAACCTTCCCCTCCAGACCAGCCTCCCTCCCCTGAGCCCCCATCCCACAGCATCTGGTTCTGAAAGGCTTTTCACACCGTGTATTTGCCTTCTCGCCTGTAACTAGGCATCTGGACAGTAGCAGCAATGAACGCCCTGACATCAGCTCCATCCAGAGACGCATTAAGGTACTCAACCATAAAAATCCCTTTTCATCCTTTTGGATCCTCAAGGGCTTGACAACCCAACCCCACTGCTCAGCCCTGAAATGCTTTGCTCCGCCTTCGGGTAGGCACGGCAGGCTTGGCAAAGCCATCCTGTCTGCGGACGCAAACGAAGGAGCTTCTCAGCTCACTGGTGTCACTGGCACTCCTGAAGGGCAGCCTGGTCTGGAGTGGGGTCTCCCTCCTCCCGCACACAGCGGCACCGGCTGACGGTGCTCACGGCTGCGGAACGGGGCGCTGGTGCACACGGAGCGGGGAGGGGCTGTGTCGCCTGGTTCAGGCAGCCCTGGGGTGCCAGCCCGGGGCGGGTGCTGGCCCTGAGCCCGCTGCTGCCCCCCCCGCCGTTAGCTGGGACTCGGCCGCGCTGGGGGACGCGAGCACCGGAAGCCTCGCTGGGGATCCCTGCGGATCTCGCGTAGCCCCCAGCCCTCACTGCGCTCCACTCCAGCGTTGTCGTGGCTCCGCGCTGCTGCCGGCCCGGCCCGGGATCTAACCTGCCCTTCGCTTGTAGAAAGTGACCCACGACATGGACATGTGCTACGGGATGATGGGGAGCCTCTTCCGCAGCGGCTCTCGGCAGACCCTGTTTGCCAGCCAGGTGATGCGCTACGCCGATCTCTATGCAGCCTCCTTCATCAACCTCCTCTACTACCCCTTCAGCTACCTCTTCAGAGCCGCCCACGTCCTGGTGAGCTGTGGGCCGCGGGGAGGTGGGCAGGGGTCCCAGAGGTGCCTGCGCGTGTGTTCCTTAACGCTTCCACGAGCCGCAAGCACCGGGAGCGGCAGCTCAGAGGGTTGGGTGGCATCTGATGGGCCGAAGGGTCACGTTCTGGGGTTTGACGCCCGTCTGTCTCAGGGAGATACCCTGGGACTGGGACACCCCTTGCCACCTCCTCTCTCTCTTACATGTGCAGATGCCACACGAGTCCACGGTAGAGCACACGCACGTCGACATCAACGAGAAGGAGTCGCCAATGGCCACGCGTAATCGCACCTCAGTGGATTTTAAAGATTCTGACTACAAGCGGCATCAGCTGACCCGCTCCATCAGCGAGATCAAACCGCCCAACCTCTTCCCCCAGGCACCTCAGGAAATCACACACTGTCATGATGAAGATGACGATGAGGAAGAGGAAGAGGAGGAAGAAGAGGAGGAAGAGGAAGAGGAGTAAGAAGGAAAAAGTAAAGCATCTCTGAAGACAAACCGTGACTCTAGCAATGATCAGGAGCGGATTCCTTTGTTGGGGCCCTTGGGGTGATGGGTTGGGGGGGGTGTGATTCTTGCAAAGGCACATTTTGAAAGTGTCCAGAAACTTTTAACAAATTAACACTAATTAGGAGGAGACCCTTGTTTTCAGTTTTGCAGACGGTTCAAAAAGCTGATGGATTCTGCCTGGGTGGTGCATTCAGATTGGACTGCCCACCCGTGCTGTCATGCTGCTCCCATTACATTTAGGGATGCTGCATGTTTCTCCCTTTTCCGTGATGTGTTTCATCTGATTTTCATTTGTACGGTGTCCTGTGAACGGTTTTTGCCATTTGTTACATTCACTGTGGAGAAGGAAGGGATGTGCTGGGCCCTGCAGGAGACAAAATGATCCAAATCCTCCCGCTCGTTAAGTTGCTGCCCTTAACCCTCTGCTTCTGGGTTACGAAATCCCCCCTCCCCGTGTTAGCCAGGGTGCTGCTGTGCCTTCCAGCACTCGGTTTACCCTCTGCTTAGCGTGAGTTTCTCAGTGTAAGTGGTTGGGTCCCTCCGGCCGTCACGGATGGCGGTGGGATTCCAGCTCTTGCATAGCTGCAGCTGTACACGTTTCGGCTTGTAGACGCTTGTTATCCCCTCCCAATGTTTCAAAGCTCTTTCATCAGCAGCACGTGATGCATGATTCCCAATACATTTCCCAAGCAGCTGAGCCACACACTGTGTTCTCAACTCCTGTAGTTTCAGCAGTAACTACTAACCCAGGAGCTTGAAGCTACCGCTTTAGCATTACGTTAGTGCCTATTACTGACCTTTCTGTCTGCTCAGCTTTAAGAAAGTGAAGCATCTCAAAGACAAACCCAGCCACCTCCTGGCGTGAAGGGGCCTGTGGCCCACGCGTGCCCCCCCGAAGCTGGGAGCCGGCACGTCCCCCAGGACCAGCCCCACGGTGGGAGCCGGGGAGCTCCAGTCCGGCCGGCAGCTGCCCTTGGCCTTGGCCTGGCACGGAGTGAGCGGAGCCTCGGCCTCGGCCGTGGTGGGCAAGGCTGCGTCCCCGGCCAAGGAGGGCGATGGCTGCAGGCTGCCGGGCGGGGACTGGGGGTGCCCCGTGGGGATGGGTGAGTGGTCCTTGTGCCTGAGAGCCAGCCCAGGGAAGGTGCGGGGCCGGCGTGCAGCTGGGCAGCAGTGCCCTAAGGTTTTCCTCTGTGTCATGGGTGCAGCCTCCCTTACTCCAGCCTCTGCCGTTCGCTGTGAAGGGATTACAACAAGGGCCCTCTTGTAACAAATTCGACTGTTGTTTCAGTACCATAAACTCATTTAATTTTTTTTTTTTTTCCATTTTAAAGTACCTTAGGAGAAAATAAAAAACCACACCACCACCATCTGAGCAGGAAATGCTGCTGCTATAGTGGCATTTGTTCAAGTCAATAAATGATGATGTTTCTAAGAATGCCTGGTGCTTTGTGTCGTGTCACTGAGATGATGAGGGCTGTGCTGGAGGTGTCAGGGAGAGCTGGGACTGCTCTGGGGAGTGGGGGTCCTGCTGGGACGGGCGGCTGAGGAGAGGGAAAGCATCCCCAGGAGTGGGTTGTGTGAAGCACTGCTGTAGATTTGGCTTTAAGGGCCTGTCTGGTCCCCTGTAGGCAAGGACAGAGAAACATTCTGGCCTGGATTCAGAGCGTGAGGAGCGGCTTTTCCATAGTGGGAAGGGCAACACCCTCATGCTGCCACTGCCGCCAACACTGCGCCTTCCCAGGGCCACTCCCCACCGTGCACGACCCACGGCACTGACGGCACGGCCCGCGCTCAGCACAAGCTGCAAACCTGGCTAAACAGAGACAAATTCCCTGGGGAAGGCCAGTGCGGCCACGACGACAGCACGGGGCTGGCCTAGCCAAGGGCTGCGCGTACCCTGCGCCCAGCCGAGACGGGGACAGGCCTGGGGCCAGCACCGCCACACTGCTCAGCCCTCGCCTGCCAGCAAACCCCTCGCGGCAGCCACACCAGGCCAGCTGAGGCCCCGCCAGCAGCGCCACCACAGCAGGAGAGTCAGTGCCCAGGGCCCGACGTGCCAAACTGAAAAGCAACACTAAATGGCTGCAGATGGTGGCCAACAAGCAACAGCCGACACTTCAGGGATTGCGGAAAGCCCCAAACCCAGCACTGTGTCCCTGACCCCTTGATTCTGGGGTCTGGAGAGATGCTAACATACCCGTGGTGAAGTCAGCTGCAGGAAAGGTTTGAGGGAGCTGTTCCCGAGCCCTTTCACTAAAGGCCATGCTGGGCTTTGCTATGTTTAAACCTCATTTCTCCAAGTATAGCCACTTGAATTTTTTAAGCTTTAGCTCAGCAGCTGGGGAGGGCGTGTGGCTGCAGGAAGGGAGGTCTGGGGAGCTCCGTGCATTCCTCCTTCCTAACCAGTCACCACAAATAGCTCACTCCCAGCCCAGGGCTATTTCTGACTGTGATGGGGAGAAGAGCCTTGAAGACTGGAGCAATGGAAAGTATTTGACCCTCACTTGACGGTGGGAAAGCGGTGGGCAGAGCCTGACGGACACAGGTACTGCCCGGCCTTCTGCCACCCTGCCCATCCTGTGCTGGCACCACAGGGGTGCTGCAGCAAGAACCCACCGAGCAAGAGCCAGGGTGAAGCCTCTTGCCCCAGCTGGCACAGGGGACATGCCCACAGCCCGGTTTGCTAGCCCACACCTCTGGCAGGTGCCCAGGAAGCTGCTGGCCTGGCAGTACCTGAGCCCGCACGAAAATTTGGCCTGAGCCGCAGCTGCTGCGAGGCTCCTGCCGCTCTCCCAGCAGCCTGCTCCCCTGCCCCAAGTGACGGGCACGCTGCTGCCCTCCGGCACCAGCCCCTCCTGCAGGGCAAGCGCTGGGGACAGACCTCAGCCACCGCCCTGAGCTCTCAGCGAACTGATTTCTGATTTACCCCTTTCTCCAACACCACATGCCCACCCCCACTGCCTGCGGAGGCAGAAGGGGGCTCACAGTGGCTGGACTGAGCAAACTCTACCATGGACAGGAGCTTGAGGCTCACCCTGCCCTCGGCCACAGCCCTGCACCTGTTCCGCGTTGAGCAGTGCCAGCAAGTTGCTCACTAGGTCAAAGTACCTAGGGGTGCTCCCAGCTCCTCTCCCTTTACACCGTCTCCACTCTCAGCTGAGATTCCCACTGCAGCTGATGCACAAACCCAGTGTCCAGGTCCGCCTAACCACAACACAGGATGCAAAACCCTGTGCCCACCCCCGAGCAGCAGCCATTGCACCCTTGACACCTGAAACTCTGGCCACCAGCAGGGTACCTCAGCAAGGCAATTTAAGTGCAGAGCCACCAGCCCTCCCTGGCCCTGCACAAGGGTGCCCACCTCCAGCAGAAGGGCCCTGGGGCCCGCTGGGCTGCAGAGCGTGCGGCAGGCACAGGGCTGGTGCAGGGGCTGGCCAGGCACCCAGAGCAATGCAGCAGCAGCGTAGCGGGGGGGGCAAACAATTTACCAGGACTTAACAACCCGTCGGTACAAAAGGTGACCTTGAGCACGACTCACATGGTACATGAGAACTGACCTTGAGCGTTGGGGGTCCCATCCAGGCCCCGCAGGGAGGGCGACGCGCAGCCTGGGTGCTGCTGGAGCTTTGGGGATGCAGAGCCCCCCGGGTGCAGCTGCCGCCGATTCGGGGCTGCTCCTGCCCCGCTGCCACAGTGCGGCCTGGGCCCGGGCAGCCAGCACCCACCCCGCCTCCCGGCAGGGACCCGGCCTCTCGCACCCTCCCTCTCCCTTCCCCTCGGTACTCACTGCCAGAGCCAGCCCCAAAGTCTGCCTTCACATTAATGCTACTTAACACCCCGCTTTCAGCATCCCACCATCCTCCACCCAGTGCCAGGGACAGGCACAGAGTCCTTGCAGGACCTGCCCCTCTCCCCGTCCTGCTGATGCGATGTCGGGGAGCGAGGCCCAGGGGGATGGGGCCGCCCTGCAGCACAGGGACAGGGACAGAGGCTGCACTGGGTGCAGCAAAACCCCACACAAGGCTTCAGCAGATGCTGCCCACCTCGCTAACCCCGGGCGTAGCAGCTCAAGAGCTGAGCGAGAAAGCAAGCCCAGTGGAGGGAGAGCATCTGGGTGAAATGGCTGTGAGGAGGATGGGGGGGTTGAGGAATGGCAGAAGCACGAATGGCCGCACTGGAGGGCTGTATCCAGCACGCAGGAAAAGGTCGGCTGTTCCTCTGCTGGTGTGGAGCTGGGCAGGGGACTAAGCGCGGGCTCGCTCTCCCGCTCAGAAAAACATCTCCGCCGCCACGGGCTCCACACAGCTCCGCTGCCAAAGCCCCAACACCAGGGACTGCAGCCAGAGGCACCCAACGTGGGGGGATGGACAGACTCTTCCTCCACCAGCGTTCCCCGTCCGACAGAGCCACCGTCACCACCGGCCACGTCTTGCTGGCGACCCCCAGTCACGCGCCGCCTGCCAGGAGCGCCTGGTACGGGTGGACACACAGACGGCATCTACACTTCTGGACAAACAAACATGATATATAGAGAGCAGGTTGTAAATAAGGGGTTTTTATTAGTGGAAGAAAAAGGCCCTCACCCTCGAGGGAACTTGAGAAAGTCATCTGCTTCCCGTTGCCACCAGCTTCCCAGCCCCTGGTCAGCAAAACCGCCGGCACAGCCCTCCCCGGCTCACGGACTTACAGGCCCAGACCCACCAAAGCGAAGAGCAAGACCTGGCTCTGAGGGGAGCAGGATCCAGCCTCTCCGTGGTTCTTGGCAGCTGAAGTGGAGGTTAAAGACCGCTGATGTGCCAGTAGCAGAGATATGGGTCCAGGATCACCGACATCAGCCCCACCACCCGCATGCCAAAATCCATCCCTTGGAAATGAGGGGGGAGCATGGAGGAGGGAAAAATGCATAAACTGAAATGTTCAACAGAAAAAAAATCATCATTTATCTAAAAAGAATAGAAATAAACAAAATGCTTTTAAACAAAATCACAAAATATACAAATAAATCTGGTACAAAATAAATAGGAAAGATTGGAAATCTACAACAAAATTGGAATAATTATAAAATTCATTCATATGACAATCAGTATATGAAACGTATACACTTCATTCAGGATTTCAGTTGTGCTTATTCAGGTTTATGTACACACACGGAAATACTGTAGTTAGAATACTACAACTCTGGAAACCCGAAGTCATGTACAATATGATACAATTCGCAAAGACCATGTACGATGGCAAACAGGGCCCGGGGCAGAGCCGGCTGGAGTGGCTGAGTGGGCTCAGGTAGCCACGAAAACGTACGGCGGAGGGAGAGCCACCACGCTGCTGCGCGGGAGGGGACCGAGGCCGAGCCAGCAGCAGCCGGGAGGCTCGGGGCAGCCGGGCAGGACCCGACTGCAGGAGGGAGGTTTGGTGTGAGACCTCCAGCTGCCGAGCACCAGCCGCTCGTGGCTTCCAGGAACGCTTCTCAAGTATTTGGGTTTTCAGATTCAACGTGTTTGGCATCTGGACGCCTGCCCCGTGACTCGGGTATCGAGGTTGGCTCTGCAGCCGCCCGTGCTGGAGAAAGCACACGCCGAGAGCTCTGAGGTCCCTCAGCAGGGCCCGACCCTGAACTGGTCGTAAGCCACCCTCGTGCTCATGAGAACATGGATCGAATGGGACCGGAGCACTGGTGCTGGGGTCCTGGTGGGTTTCCACTCTCCAAATTTCACACGGTCTGTGAGGAAGGCAGAGTCCCTTGAGCAGCATCTCCCACCCTTGGTGTGAGGAATGAAGACAGGAGGGTCGCAGCATCGCCCGTTCCCGACTGCTGCACCTCCTCCTCTCACCTTCCCGAACGCCCAACCAAACCACAGCGAGAAGAGCGGAGGAACGGCCACGGCCGATGCGAGAGCAGCAGCCGCAGAAAGGCACAGTGCTGAACCCACGCCAGCACGATGCAGGAGGACAGAGCACGTACCCTGGGTAAAAACCCGGTGGCCAAACCAGCCCAGCCCAGCCTGCTGGGACCTGAGACTTTAAAGCAGGGATGACGCTAGAGCTGATCTAGGCCCGGCCAGTCTGTGAACAGAGCAGCTCACCGGGAGCCCCCCCTACTCTCCCCACTTTGATCTTTGGGCAAATCCAGAAGGCGTGCATTCAATATTGGCACTTCCAACTAAAGGCCTATGATCCAGGCTACTCATCTGACACTTGCAAGTTTCTCACTTGAATTTGGAAGGATTTGGTGCAACAGTGATGCGCAGAGGATTAAAAAAAAAAAACAAAACCACCACCTTTTATAAAGCTCTGCAGTCTCCAAACAGCTGAAATGGGATGCCACACCGCTCTGCCAAGCACTAAATGCTGGGACAAGCCCTTTCTCCCCAACAAACCCTGCTATAAACCAACTGCCACACTGCTTCCAGGAGGAGAAGACAACAGAGACATCAA